GTAGCATGAAGAGATGTATTTTTTTAATTGAGATTTTGCCGTCAGCAAAAGCCATATATGCCGAAAAGCCGAGAAGCACTGTAGCGTTTTCTCACCCTTACTGGGAATCCTCCACACCTCGCGAAGCTCAGAGTTTCGAGCTCGTGATCTCACAGTCAGTGGTTGAACACTTGACCGTTCGGACATGAGCGGCTGATCGGCAGTTTTTATAAGCTCTCACTTAGAGAGAATTTCCAGGATATCGAGGAACTACCTGCTGTGGCTTCCTTGACTGGAGCATCCTTAGAGAGAGCCACTCACACTACTGATCAACCGCTCGCGGCTGAACGTTCAAGCATTCAACCACCGACGGAAAAGTCGTAGGTTCGAATCTCTGAGTTCCGAGCGATGTATGCTGCTGATGTTTCCCAATAAAGATTTAACAGCTGTACAGCGCTTCTTAGATTCGCCTACAAGATGAAATCTCACTTGAGTTTTACGGTTTCCAGATTGATAAGCTGGGCAAAAAATACATTTATCCTTCTTGAAGAAAGGCACTATAATGCTTGTTGCGCAGCCGTCAAAGTGCTCAGGATGTTTGTTGTAGCTCTCGGAAATCTCAGTGTTCACGACGGACACCCTACACGTGTCCTGCCCTAGATAAGGAAAGTAACTGGGTTGTCAAGTTTCAGGAATTTGATTGCATTTTCTCTGAACTGAACAAAAAGTCATGGAAAATTTAATTCAACCTGTCAGTCTTAGATTAGCGAAGAAGTTTTTTGCCCATACTCCTGCTTGTGCGCCGGTAATAATTGCAGTTGAATTGACGTGTAGAGTCGCGCAACGTCTCTACGGTTACGCTCTCGATTGCCATGACGACTACCAGCAACCAGCTTTCCGGCTTAAAGGCAAAGCGACTACTCAAAAACGTCTTGTAAGAACCGTTGCTAAAACTGATAACTTGAACACAAGACTACTTTTTGTCTGGCGATTATCGTTGCATGCTTTGGAGGAAAAGACGCGGCAAACTTTCGTCCCCGCCTTGTGTTTACGTCATAATCATCATCAGTGCCATTGCCCGAGTTTCACTCCAATTGAGAACTCACGTTACTATAAAATTCATGAGACCTGGTAACGAGAAATGTCGGATTTGGTTAACTTTAGGCGGGGCGTTCAGCTGATTATTTAGTAAAACGTCATTGCTTGTATCCCTACTATGCCTATATCGTAGGCTTTTTCACTTATCCAGAATGTTCCACATCTTATAGGAGGCAAACGTCAAAGTGTTTGCATCAAGTCATCTACATCAAGCCAGAGTTACTCTTGAGTAATTTCCTTCGTGTTGTTGAACAAGCAAAACTTGTAATACTTCCTCGAAAGAGGTTAGCTGTTGTTGTATCCGCAGCTAATGATGTCCACGGCTTGATAGACTTCGAAATACGTAATTCATGAGGCATTTGCATACTGATAAACGTCAACTCCTAAAGCTAAACGCGAGGTTGCTATAGCCAAGTCCAAGCTGTTTAAGAACGAGTAGGTATCCTGGCTTTCACCACATTCTTCACCTGAAACAGTCAAATTAAATGTGAGCTGATGCAAAAGCATATCGTAGAATGTTGGAAAGTTATATGTACTAAGAATAATAATTTAGTAAACTTTGGCTACACGAAGTCAAGCTACCACAAAAGCTATTGGATCTGAATTATTCAAGTACGGATGGGCTGTTCCTTGTTAGTTAGGCGCAGGTCTCTTCGGAGGACGGGACATCCATCTGATGATCACACATTCAAAATGCGTCCTCTCCAAAAGTGAACAACTGGGATAGAATCTGGTTACTTTGCGGGGAGAATCGATACAAATGTGGGAAACGATGTATTAAGTATGTTTCCAACCGCAGACATGCTTCGAACAACCGTATAGCGACATCTAATGAGCCAAAAACAATACATCCAGTGTTCTTCATTGTAAATTCACCGTTTGACAATGGTTAGCTAATATTCTGGCTCCGTTCATGTGAGATAAAGCTTAGCAAAGTGTAATCATCATCATCGTCGGCAGCATGACATCAGTGTTCAACACCGATGCTTCACTGCCGTACAACCATGAATGTGCAGTTCATGGTTGTACGTGGGCTGGGATATTGCCAGGGCGCCCACATCTAGACAGGAGGACGATTAGGGTCCTCAACCAAAGCCTTTGGCTCAAAAGCCTAACCGCAAGGCAGCGGTGTTTGGCGGGAAATGCAAATGCATTACCATTTCTACGGAACAAGTCGCCACATGTTCCAACCCCCAACCTGGAGGGCCAGGAGACTGTGTTCGTCAGACCTCTAACCAATGACCGCTCAATAGATCGCTGAGGTTGCGCAAACCTCACACCACGATAAGGTCCAGTCTCTTTGTGACGGAGTATAGTCTCTTCGTGACGGTTCAAAGTGTAAAGGATACATCATGCACATGTCCATATTCCGTAATGAAAGCTTTGTTGTTTCACAGCAAATTCGTGTCCTTTTTGCTCTTACTAGATGTACCTCCAAATGAAACCAGTGATTATTCACGTAACTTTGTAATTACCAGCAATGGTTTCTTTCGTGCATTCAATGTGTTCACGAAGAATCGTATTTTGCTGTTCATACAAAACACAAAGTTTTGGTCCCAACAAACTCTATTATCAAATACACTGTTGGGACGGAATGAATAGCCTAAAAGGGGTACCCACATAAAAACTGGGGAAAACTTTTCTGTTTTACAGAAAATACCTGGATGAAATCGACCTGGACGACACAAAAAATGCTGAGAACCTCTTGAAGTTTCTCTGATAACTGCCTGTGTGAGTGAATTCATCACTCATCCGTTTCTCGGAAAATCCAATTGGATTGGGCGGTATTATCTCTACTTTCACAATACCCCTCTGGAACAACTACTGCGCAGAGCAACTCAAAATGTACCCATGGTATCTAACCTTCGGTATAGCAAGCAACCACAGCCCACACACAGTGCACGGGCGAGATGGCTCAAGTAGTAAGAGTGTGGATTTATTGACCGGAAGGTCCGAGGTTCGAATCCCGCCTCCGCCTCTCGACTTCCTCTGTCTAGGCTTGGGCAACCTGGCAGTATCCCAGCCCTCATGCTTCCTTCGCGTGGCATGGCAGCTAGGCACCGAAAGAGTATTACAGGCTGAACGCAATTGTTTCACATGCGTTGGCGGTCAGTCTTATTCGGAGCTCACCTACACAACTCTTGACACCAGGACCCGAGGTGACCCCTTTGACTGACAAACAAAAATACCATATTGAACAATTGGTCAGTTCGCGCCGTCAACAATTCCCAGAGACACTTTCGAACATAAAATCAACACTTCTATGTGATATGACCGTTCAATACCAGGGATGCTTCAGAATGCCTGTTTACAACCACTTTGCCTATAGATGTGCTCGAAACTTGAGCTGCGTACACATTGGTTTGTATCAATGAGCGAATTTCGTTGAACAGTTTGGGTGACTTCTGTGATGTACGGTTGACTAAATTTGCTTCGTGGGCTTTCGATTGTTATCCGCATAAAACCGCACATAAAAGTTTGACTTGGTTCCACCTCCAGTCCATGAACTATTCACTTGAATCACGGGGATAGTGTGTGTAAAACCCATGTTCTGCTGAGGTGCATTTTCTGGTCTTCAGGCTTTTTGGTTCATCCACGAGTGTGAAATATTCGTCAATGTCTTACAACATTTTCTTCTGTGAATAACAGTGAAGTTCCTAATACTATTATTATTATTATTATTATTATTATTATTACTATACTGAACTGTAAATCGATGAAACCACTTACTGTGAGCTGATATCAAAGGATTAAAAGGACGGAGACAATCAACTCCATGATCAATAACCTGGTGATTTTAGCATTTTCCATATTACAGTACTGCCTTTGGGATTTCAGACATATGAAAACAAAGCCCACCCACTGTCCTCGAACAACTCAGAGATAAAGTGCGATGACTGCCGTTACGACTGAGATATGTAAGGCCTTCTCCGGGTTGCTGTATTGTTAACAGAATGGACGTAGACAGGCTTACCTAGACTGGTTTTTATAAGTAACTCAGTTCAACTTGGCAATGGTGTCGGTAACACGTAGTACCGCGCTGATCGATGAACACCTCAAAACGTGGCTCCTATTACGACTCATCAAATCATCGACAGACATGAGGGTCACGGCTCAGATAGAGGACTGATCGCTATACCAATCGAATGCTCTCCCACTACACAACAAGCTCCCTTACTACTATTGTAACGGTGATACTACTGATGCTTTTTTCTCGTAAGTCCGCTTTGCGCCTCTTGGATAGTGGGATCTATTACGGAATTTGAAGAGTCGCTTTGTGGCATTTGCTTGGATTTGAGCAACATTCAATGAATATCCAGGAAAGCTGAGGAAGATGCGTTCATGGAGAAAATGGATATTCAGTTTTTCTAAACAATATGCATATGAGAGTTTTGCTTCCCTGTCCATTTGTCTGTAATTGTTTACTTGGGATTTTCTAATAGATCACTCCGCAGCGAAGACCTTCTTCCTCGCCGCAACACCAAAATAATGTCATTCTTCCAATCTCCTAAACCCGTAATAGAATTAGACGGAGTACCATTTATAACATTTTAGGACGGTAGAAAGATAGACTCAGGTGTATACCAATTTGGTTTTCGTTTACGAAGCTAATAAGCAACTAAATTTGTCCATTTGGGTTCAAGTAGAACAAGAGGTTTATGGAAACTCGGGGACCACGTCCCATCCTATGAGCCTCAAGAAGGGCGGGCTGCCGAAAACTCTTCGACAGCCTTGTGAGTAGCGTGTTACGTCTAGACAACATAACATTTCGTAACCTTGTTAAACATCCTATCATTAATTTCCACTTAGTATAATATTTCTTGCGTTCACTAGATGTCTAGATTATTTATCCACAATGAATAACGCGAGACTTTGACGGACTGACCAACAGAGTAGGGTCGAAAACACCGTTGTTTCATCAATGTACCTCATATAAATGTATAATTGGCAGAATAAAAACAGTTGGAAAAGCTAGTTGCACACACACGGGTGTGAAAAGTACAGTTGCGTTCACAGGGATGTGAATAAGTGCCCAACTGCTTCTCTATTGCGGATAGCAACAGATAGGAAGAAAATGCATTTTAGGACATCTTGACATAGATAATGGGAGCTGTACACATTTCTGACAATCAACTATGTCCGCATACCCAAGGTGCGCAAAATGGTTTCTCCCATTTCTCTCGTTTGGTCATTATAAGCAACAAAATCATTAGTTTCATGATTAGTTTTCCATAATGATACTGAAGATCAATAAAACTCTGATCACCAAAAAATCAATGAAATTTCGTCGTCATCATCATCGTCATCCTCTTCGGCTGTACAGACACACAGATAGAGGGAGTCGGTGGAGTGAACTCGTGGTCAGAATTGTTGATTCGGGTCAAAATAGGCTAAGTAAAGCGCAGGAATTTACGGTCGAGTTACAACAAGACGTGAGGTGGGAAATCATGTTGCATAATGATCAAATGAAGCCAAATAGGCCAGGGCTGCGTTGTAACAAAATTGGTATTGTTCCTCAGTTTCTACCAAACCGGGTCGCTGTGTTCGAAGCATTCGAACAGTCTGGAACATATCGACAACACCTTCATAACGCATTCGTTCCAAAACTATTGACAAGGTTAGGAAGACACCTGTACGTCCGGTTCCATTGCTGTTGAAAGAGATGACAGTGGAGAATGACAGAAAGTTGCTGAGGGCGGGGAGAAGCAAAATGCGACGTTATTTTTTTTTGGAAAACGGGTGTATAAAACCAGAGGTTACAGAGCTCCACTGTTAGTTTTATACACAATCCGAAGAAAATGACTGATCTTCTCCTGATCTTCTGCGATGGTCTTATTACGATGTGGATCACTAGTTGCGTATGGCTGCTTCGTACTCTCCTGATTATCCAATCGGCTCAATTTCTCACAAGTTGCTCTCCCTGAGATAATACGACTTCAAATCTTCCAAACGCAAGAGTGATTTCACTCAGTGTCAGTCGAACAACCATGACTGTTTTCGATAACCACATGTGCACCTGAGAAAATGGAATAAGGAGCTGAAACAGGCTTGCCTCTCATCCCATCCGGCTTAGTCACACAAGCATCTGTGGTTGGGATGGGGGTATGTACAGTTTAAACGAGACCTATCTTGTTACCTTCGCCGTCATCCCAGTGTCGAGTCAACACCTTCCTGATTTTGGGTCAGACAACATCGCTGTATGCGTAATTACGAGGTCATGTATAGCTCTGCTCAACTGGTCTCATTTGGCGCTACCCGGTAGCGTCCTTTCCAAATCGTTTCACTGCCTTGCGAGTTCGCAAAACACTTGCATCCCCATATTCATTGATATAGACACGAGCACATACCATGGATCATTCAAGCAGCTAACACAAGCAAGCCGGTGCGGAGTGAGGGGTGCGGGTGCCGGGTGGACATTGGAAACGGGTGCTCGAGCAACTGTCTACAAGACCAAAACTGCCCAGCCAAACCAAGTTCCTTCAAACCAGTCACAGACCGAAAACTGCTCCATGCCAACACCCGTATGATTTATTTTTCAGTTTGCGTGTCAGTGACAAATTAGTCGCCAATGTCTGCTCGTCAGGCTGACACGGTTGTGCGTGAGTGTTTGTGGACGTTTGAGTTCCTATGGGAGCTAGATTGCCGAAACGGTGAACACCCGTTGAAGCAGCAGACAGTACCGAACGGACATATATTAATACTCGTGACTAGTAGATATTCCGCAGTAGAGAATGATAAACTTGGGAGTCAAATTTGTCTGTTTTTCTGTATGCTTACTGTTCCAGCATAACATTTAAAGTTGTGATATGTGCGGTTTTAGAAAAAAACAGTGATAAGACAATGATGGAAGTTCACTTCACCTTACATTGGTCTTTCATGGTAAAATACAATTATGGCGTAAAAAAATTTGTGAAACATTCAAATGAGAGTGACCATTCTGACAATACCCCCCGAGAAAACAGATGTTCCGAGCATGCCTGATTCTGGATTTCTTAATTTGATCAAGAGTTCGAAATGGTCGACTGCGTAAGATAACTCTGGATAACTGTCTATAGCCAACTGTCAGCAGGTGCCTTGAAGTCAGGAATGCTGGACATTTTAGTAATTCACGTTCAAATCACGCTCGTTTGCGCAGTTCTGCTCCGGAGAATTCATAAAAAGTAAGGGAGTACTGGACTTGAGCTTCGCTCAAACTGTTTGGTCTTTATTGGAGAGTCAACACAATCCCAACTTAAAGTCTCGCTTATGATATGCATCAACTGAGTGTCCTGAACAAAGATCGCTTCTTGTTTAATTTAGCATGATATTTGAAAAATCACAGTTTACCTTCCCGAAATAACGCTACTCAAAAGGTTGCTGAAAACTTTTCGACAGCACACCACCGGTTTTCCTCTTTATGTAACTCATCAGGTGGACGTGTTTCTCAAGTCTCCGTCAACCTAATGTTCTCCTGAATCCATTTGGTTTTAAAGAGATACTCAGCTTCATCCTGGATGAAACTGCCTTTGATGATATTCGTTCACTGTGTCGCACGCAGGTTGTTCAGGGTTTCAGTTGGTACGATATTCGAAATATCGCAAATGAGTGCATTTCGCTAGGTTCGTACAATTTGGGCTCAAGTGGCAAATGAGGCTGACGGAAACTCGTGGACTGTGCCTACCTGTTGAGCCTAAAGAAAGGTGAAGCCGGCTGTGGGCTGTCGAGGAGTTTTTATTAGGCTCAGACCCAGTGTCTTTCCAAGTTTTGGCTGGTCGTAGTGAATCTCAGAAGGAGAACGTGTTCGCATAAGTTTGAAAATAATGGGCGGATTCAAGCTACTCAACCAAAAAAAACCTTTTATGACTAGTCATGATGGACTGTACTTTTGAAACTGGATAATCCAGTCTCGGGTGTCCTTCCACCACCTATTTTCTCTCCAACCGTTATCTATTGTCCCGTAGCCTATATATGGTATAAAAACGTGACCGATGGCACCACTAATTGGCAACTAATATATCGTACGTCTAGCTCAGTTGCGTACCTATCCCAATAGCTCGAAAGTGACTTACGATTGCAGCAACCATTCTGATCCTTTCATCTGTTCAAATAGGGGCCACTAGCCTACATACAAAATCCCGAACAGACTGTACGAAATAACTGTAGCATTCGTGAGCTTCCAGAGGGAATATCGATGCTACCAAATGAAAAATAACAGTGAAACAGAATGACTGGAAGTGAAACTTGGTTCCGCCAGCTTCTCAAACTAGTTGGCAGAGTGTGATGTGGAATGTAACAGCCTCAAACTTTTGACCATAGAATCATTGCACGGAACTTTCTGCGTTTAACACTGGATTAGCCTGTATTGGGCTTTTTAAGATGAAAACGCGAAGAGACAGGTTCTAGCGTTCACTGATTGCCTTTACATGGGATTTTCAGAACGTTTCAGTTTTTTTATTTTCTCCGTAGATTAGTTCGATATCCTTTACCCGTTCACCGAGTTCCGCCTCCCAGTAGGAGAGGCGGTAAGGGATGATATCCTTGAGCACTCTTTCGGGCTTACCTGCAATGTACAGTGATTGGGCCATCTTGCCCAAACTGTTCTTTGGTCTTATGCACTTGACCAAGAAATTCGATAAAGGGTTCGCAGGTTGTAGGAACGTTTTGTTCGGGCCAGTCGGTGAACTGGAACTGCCGAAGTGTTCTGGACTGCCCGTCTCTAGCATCCGTCAACTTGAATTCTCGCAAAGTGTAGTTTGGCATATTGTATTCGACCATTGGGTCAACCACGTAATACTGATAACGGGATGATCGTTCTGAAGGCCAGTAGGGATAGCAGCATTCCTGAGAAGGAAAGCGATGAGATTAGAGGTATGGATATTTGGAATGAAGGTTTAGACAGTTATTCGAGTTGGATGCATAAAAATGTCGAATGCGTCAGCAGTAAATTGAATAGGACCAAACAGCGCCATGGATTGAGGCAACTTCAACCTGATACAGAAACGAGCTATGTTCGCAAGAGATTCAAATGGTTTATCACCTAATACCTGCCGTTTCAAAAGTCGTCCAGTGAATGCTAAGACTGTGCACATTGCCCTCACACGCGGAAAATGCAGAGAATGTGTCAGTGATTGAAGCTCTTAACACTGGGTAATCCTGATTAACACACCGAACACCACCACACGTGTACACACTTACCCGTCCACGTTCACACAGTTTTGTCAACATGACGACGATCGTGGAGTTCAACTCCCACACCATTCGCCAAAAATCTTCCACTGTCTTAGCCATCGGTCCCTGTGTGGCGATGTACGCTTTCCGTTCACGATAGCCGTCTACAAAATTTGCGTTCACATAATCGGACCCTTCGACTCCGCGTATCAACTGCAACGTGACGCGGGTGTTTTCGTACGGCAAAGCGGTTAGCATTCGATTCTTATTCTTGTTGCACAACATCTGTGCCGATGTGTATTTGGCCCGGGGTACACGAAACTGTTGCAGTTGCTTGAATTTAGAGTGGGATTAAAAGGACAGAGAGATGAAATACCAACAACGTTGGATTGGTTGGTTACTGGATCCAAGCTTAATTTCTTACGCATCATATTCTTTAATTGAATATGGTGCACAAAGGACGTCTCGTTTTAGCTGGTTCCACATTTGAGACATCGTAATATATTTTGTTGAAAATGGAGCACACTACTCGTAAGGCTGCTAAAAACTCCTCGACAGCTCATGATTTGTTTTAGCCTTCTGGAGGCTCTTTAGGAAGGCGCAGTTCCTGAGTTTCCCTCTACCTGAACATCAAATTTCACGCAAGTGGTGAAATTTAATCATTTTCAAATGAACTTGCGGTCACGTGGGGATCACTGAGGCCATCAGCAGGGGGAAACCAATTATGAGCTCTGGAATATGTCATAGCAACTCAAACACTAGAATGTTGTACCTTGGAAATATGGGACGATGTGTCGAATTTCGTGCCAATTATACTACGAAGCAGCATTTTTCATAAAGGAAACTACTCACAAGGTTGCTGAAAGCTCTACGACAGCCCACGACCGGTTTCGCCCTTCTTGGGGTTCATCAGGTAGGCGCCGTCCCCGAGTTTCCGTCGACCTTGTTCTACTTGATATCTACGATATCTAGAATATCGTGCCAACTGAATCATGAGGTGGTCTATGTGCAGCACATTCATTTGTAGAATATCATAAACGAGATATTCACTTGAGTCTTTCGTGAAAACCAAATCGATTTGCAAATGATGAGGCAGCCTTCTTTGGAGAACCTCATAAATGAGAGATTCAGTAGAATCTCCGTTATTTTCAATGTAACTTGCATTTCGCCACTCGAGTTTCAATTTGTGAACCCAAATACATCAGCACCAAAATCAGAGGCAAATATTAATAAACCGGAACTGGTAAAAAATAAGTTTTTTGTCTGACAAATCACGTAGGATAACGCAGCAAACAAAATAAGGATATGAATAGTCGTCTTTGATGCAGATGGTACATAGCAGGAAAAGCAGGTTTTGCTTACAGTGCTCGAAGCACACAGCATGGTAGTATCCATTACGTTCACTCCAACTGCTGTAAGCGAGTTACTGGATATTACTGGATATTGCCAAACAACTGGTTAAGTTTGGTTAAGTGATTGTCATACTGGTTCAAAACCTATAGCAAGGACATTACCAATAGACCGAAAGTGAAGCAAAAGCAAAGAAAAACTAAAACACTTTGGGAAAGTTCCTGCCCCAATCGACTGCTGGAAGCATCAAGAGAGAGACCGTCGAACAGAATAATAAAATGCAAAGTGTAATGAACTAACGCTAAACCGTCCAATACCCTTGTATTCATGAGGGCGAAGGTGCACACCGTTTACAAACCAATGTTGAACTCCCCATAACTTGGTAGTTCACTAGAAAAGGAAAAATTACCAAGCCAGTCTGAACAAAAGATCCAACACAAAAATCTGTTATTCTGACTACGGAGCAAAATCAAGGTGTGTTTAACTAAAACACCAGGAAAATGCACAAAAGCTTAATGCAAAGTTAATGAACTAACGCTAAACCGTCCAATACCCTTGTATTCATGAGGGCGAAGGTGCACACCGTTTACAAACCAATGTTGAACTCCCCATAACTTGGTAGTTCACTAGAAAAGGAAAAATTACCAAGCCAGTCTGAACAAAAGATCCAACACAAAAATCTGTTATTCTGACTACGGAGCAAAATCAAGGTGTGTTTAACTAAAACACCAGGAAAATGCACAAAAGCTTGACCTCAGACATCAAAATCATTTGGTCCAAGATCTATGCAGCTTCACGTTTTTCTATTTTAATGCTGTTTTAGTGCTTCCCAGATCGTTGCAACACAGCACTAAAGTCCATCTTTCTGTTGATTAAACCCCAAACACGCAATTCACGGAAATATTCATTACAGCCCCACATTATCGACGGAATACCGTGGTGACTAGTAACTGAATCTGTTACTTTATGGTGCATGGCGCGTCAACTCAACCTAACTGTCTGTCATTTTGCCTACTTGAATGTTTCTGACGCGTTGGTACCACTTTTCCCATAAACATAACCACTCATATCGGTCAAAATGATCAACAGAAGTCGAATAACTGCTTGAAACAGCCGTATCTATGACGTGACCCACCACACCATGGTGCTGTTCACAATCAATCCTCTTAAGAGCGCGTCAGCGAAGGAAAACGCCTGTTGCGTGAATCGGATGGGGGACTATTGTGCTATTTTTTTGTGGCGTTCACAACCGTCCCACACCATGCTGAGCAAGAACCACAAGACCCCGATGGAGTCATAAATGGAGTAAGCGTAACATTCGCTCTGGACCTGTGAATCAATATCATCCTTACAGAGGTTCAGCCCATTTTCGATTATCCAGTCTACCTACGGCAAAGATGTGTGGATTAACTGAAACTTGTCGAATCATCAAGTGTGACGTAGAATAAAACATCTCTTACATGATTATTGATGCATACCTTGAATTCCAATTCCATTCCAGACCCACCACTATTGTCCAAGATCCGCAATTTTTTAATGTGTGCCAGAAGATTACGCGCAGGTACTTCCGTGTTCCCGGCATCCACCGCCTCCAACAGAGCAGAATGGATGAAAATATATTGATCTTCCGTTTGGACCATGAAATTCCGTTGGCTTCGCAATGCCCGAACACAACCGTAAATGTCAACTGTTTTCTCATACTTGATTCTTTCCAACATCATGTCAATCACAATAAACGCGCCTTGACAAAAAGAGGATAGGGAGGATCGGTTTAGTGACACAGAAACGCGTAGAGCACATTGAGATACAACTGTCACGTCACACGCAACAGTCAAGCGGTTGTCTGTGAACAATTGAATCTACCCATTGAAAGCAATCGCTACTTCCTCATCGGTGGAACCCTAAACGGGATCACAAATACAATAACCGCGCGTGACATGCTGCATTCCAGAAACCAGATAGCAGTTGCACATTTGAAATTCCCCAAACCATTCTGTCTAAAAATTGACAAACTTGAAAACGGACACTACTCTGTGGCGATGAAGACATTTAAATACAGTTCCATATCCAATATGTGGAACATTCTATATGCCGCGTAGTTGTCTCACTACCTATGGGCAAATGGTTTTCCAAAAAGAAAGGTCAGAGTCATCTAGAAGATATAAATGTTTTTTACACACCACTGGTAAGATTACCTCATTTTTTAGTGACATGGTATGATACTTTCAATTTTACGGACATTTTGCGGAAGAAATAAACAAGAACATGTGACGATTTCAGAGGTAAATCTTGGGTGAAACATATTTTGGGCCGACACGGTAATTTGCAATTGCGCAACCGGACGAAAGGTCGCCTACCAAGTATCCAGCTAGCTGATGTATAATAACTAACACAACCATACCTTTTAAACTAGATTTCTTTGCGCGAAGTAATATATCGTTTTGCTAAAAAGTTGACCAGATCACAATCAGTAATGCAGTGGGCAAACGTCTACCAATTTCGGAAGGTACTTCAGCGCAGCTCAGATGTTGCAAACCATCGTGATATTGTCGCGGATACTCCGGGAATGCTTACCTTTTTGTTTTAATCCCATTTTTATGCACTTTAAAAGAAATTTCTAATCATACCTGACTTAGTCATAGTTTGCGTGGCGTTCTATTTTAAAACAGATACTGAATCGCGGTAAACGCCCGTACCGTCGTGCGGGATGTTTAGAAAGGCTAAAATTGGTATGACTTTCGTCTTAGATTTGCAACTCAAGCCTCAGCAGGATTTGTGTCCCATTAGACTTAAACCGTTTTGCATTGCGGGAGCAAATCTTATGCAAGTCAGAAGTTGGTAGGAAGTCGAAGTCCCTTGAGCGCCAAGTAATTCATATCACGTTTAGGCAGACGGAACACGTACAACGCATGCCTAAACATCTCATTCCGAACCTTGGAGATTTCACGGGCACAAGCCATGACACGGCAACACTAAACAAAAGCGAGTGCTGTGGGACATTCGTGGTTCAGCTCACACGGCTTTGGTATCCCTGCTGAACCTGATATACAACTGATTCCAACAGTGATAGCCAAGCACATCACAGCACAATTACTGGTGCTGGAATCAGAGCGCTAAAAGCAAACCATAGTGAACAAGGAACTAAATCTGGATGCTCTCCTTTGTAGGGAAAAGTGACGATAATTCTCCAACGTTAAAGTTGAATATTTAAGCTAATTTAACCAGGTTTCAAATAGTCTAATGACAACTAGCATTTGGCTAGTCCCTACCATCCGGCTCTCGATCGTGGGTTTCTGGGGGTAAAAGTGTCTCCGAGGCGGGAAATCGTGGACTCCCCAGGGAGGTGAGTGTAGCTCAATAAGAATAAATAAAACCAAGCATGGCATGCGTATGTGTTGTCAACTGATACGAACCAGCTAAACGGCCTTCACTTGTGAAGTTCAGAGCCATCTATGTGTTGTAACTGATACGAACCAGCTAAACGGCCTTCACTTGTGAAGTTCAGAGCCATCAGACCGTGACATGTCGCTAGCGTGCAGTCCAATATATATATATATATATATATATAAGATCGGAA